CATAAAATCTAAAATACTTATTATTTTACATTAAATAATTTAAAAAAATAGCTAATGTAAGGAGAAATCTAACATTTTTTTGCTAAAAACCAACAACACTGCCTTGTAATGTTAACTGGTGAACAACACTTCAATCCTAGCATTTCCCTGACCAACGACAAACATCTCAAGGTATTTTAGTAAAAAGACTAAATAAGATTACATAAATAAAATAACAATACATACAAATTGTGAAAAATATCATTTGATAGAAAGTGTCTTTAATTTATCCTCAGAAAAAAATATGAATATTTGTACCTGGGCAATAGCATGTTTTGTAGTGGTATTTGGGATAGATAGATACCACGCATGATATTTCAAATTGTCAAACAAAAATTCTCAAGATATGCAAAATTTGTGACAATTTTGAAATATCACAAGTGGTATTTATCCCAAATTCCATGCACAAAAAACTCTATATTTGTTTATAAAATGGTTGAACAAAATTGTGCAATGTGAAATACCATTATTAAGTATAAATACCTCTCCTCTAAGCCAATCAAATTGCAACATTTTATTTAATCATATTAAAAGTCAATGAATGTCATAATTGTCAACAACACTGCCTTGTAATGTTAACTGGTGAACATGACTTCAATCYTAGCATTTCCCTGGCCAACATCTCAAGGCTTGGTTGTAACAACAGATCAATTAACAGTTATATATAATTTTGATTGGTTTTATCATCAAAGCTCTGTAATATACTCCTTCAATGAGCAGTCATAAATGAAAGTTATATGTGACATTTGTTTAAAAAAAGATATAGTATAGAGGAAATGCAGAAAACCATGAAATAAAATCAAACAAAATACTAACAAATAGCAGGTATTTAGAGACAATTTGTCAGTACCAATGAACCAGAACATAATGAAAAGGAATCCACATGGGACCATTTTTAATAGCCGACTTGCGTTTGCTCTAAAACTAGCTGTAAAGACTGATTGATCAAACTGATACAACAGAATTGGGCTGTGTTATAAATGACTATATGACTAGACCTGTGTAGCCTCAAGCTTCAAAACATAAATTTGCACACTGCAATTCACATAGCCAGTTGATGTCTGTTAAGAATTATTATTAGCATCATGTCAAAAATCTCCTTTAATCTGGAAACAYTTTCAAATGTTACAATGCTTATAAAAAAAAACAACAACAACAACAATATGCTTACTTACAGTCAAACGACCTGAAGCGTGAACACATAGACATAAATAATGGATTAATTCTTCGAATATTGATTTGATTATTTGATTCGAACATTCATCCTTGATACGAACTTTTCAWTATTCAAAACAAAAATAGTTTGAAATCTCGATTGATGATTGGATTAATACCATAACAATAAGTCTTTGCCTTAATATGGGCAAAATAACACAGCAAACCCAACTCCAAGAAACTACATGATCGAACAAGACAAAATGGCAACACACATCAACAAGCACGGTCGTATTTTCACGCCAGGTAAGGCTTTAAAATCTTCTTTTAGGGAAGAAATTATTGATTTGTTTAACAGAGGGCTGCCAAAGCGACAGATAGCGAGAGATTTGAAGATTTCACCAGGGACAGTTCACAAAGTAATAAACCATTTTATACAATTTGGCACTGTGATGCCTTTTTCTCGTGGTGGAAGCGACCCTTACAAGATTACTAATGATGTTCTTCAGTGCTTAGAAATATGGAAGAATCAAAAGCCTAGCATGTATGCATCGGAAATGCAAGAACAACTTCTGATGCAAGGAATTTCTAACATTAATAACTTACCGACAGTAACAGCTATAACCAAGAGCCTTCGAAACAAATTGGACATGACTCACAAGAAAATATCCCAAGCGCCATTAGAACAATTGAACAGTATTTGGAAGGTGGACGAGTATTTAGATGTCACACAAGGTATCTGTCCAACAAAACTACACTTCTTCGATGAATCATCGGTGATCAAAACTACCTCAAACCGTTTATATGGTAACAGTTACAAGGGCTCAAAGGCAATAGAAGTGCAGAGGTATGCTTCAAACGCATCTTATACTGTCAACCTCTTACACAGTATTTTTGGTGTGGATTACTTTAATGTTATTCCAGGTGCCTCTAACAGTGAACAGTTAATAACATTTTTTGATTTTGCACTTGACAGTCAAAGAGACAATGGCTTACCTGTTTTTATAGAAGGAGATGTTGTTAT